TGGCTCAAATTGAAATGCAGCTGAGACCACGTGATCTACTGAGCCAGTTTTCTAATGAATTTCTTTTTACTTGTCAAAAGAATCAAATATCTACACCGCCTAACGAGTTGGAAGGAGTATGATCATTGAGCGCATTGTTGTTGGTCTCCTGCATACGCCAATTTGGACATGACAAAATTTTCTGCGCTGATAACGGAGATTTTTGATAACCGTCACTCTAAAAATGCATTCACGGAAGTCATATTTTTCACATATGAAGGTTGATATATCTTCTCGCTTGAGCTTGGTGGTAGAAAACCGTTAGACCTGAATAAATATTATGTTTTCACATTTAGAGGGTTCGATTTCAATGTCAAATTCATTTTATTAACGCTCAGCAGATAGGATTTTAATTTAATCGGAAACTTTTCCCTCTACCAGAAACAGGGACAAGTCAGCTACCTTGCCATTGGTCGCCAGTGGTAAAGGTGTGCGGTGTATTAGATGAAACTTACAAAATCTGTTTGGCAGTTAACTTGGTGGATTCCATCCTAAAGAGACTGCCTCCAGTGCTCAAAATTGAAGAGGAGCAAAAGGAACATGGATGAGATGAAAGTGCAATACCTGTATAAAGTCTATGAGTCATTTTAATAAATAAATAACAGTTAGGTTTTCTACTGTGACTTTGTTATCTTACAACTGATGCATTTGAAAAAATCGTTGAAATCGCGAAATTGTACAATTTTATGGCATGTGGCTAATAGAAGTAGTGACACAAGTGGATGTTATATCAGATATGTTGCACCTGATGTGGGGCAATATCATATTCAATCCCGTGAGGCTGGAAGAATAAAGCATTGAGATGAACAAATACAATGAAAATCAGGATGTTACACGAGTTTGGTCAATATATATATATATATATATATATATATATATGTATATATATAAACATTGTTTTCTAGATACTGCAGTACGCGCAGATCGGCTCTGACAGCACGAACTCATTGACTAAAGGATTACGATTAATGTTCAAATGAAGTACAGTGCGGGACCACGGAATTCATTGTGGAGCGACACCGGTTGTGAACTTCGTCTCATCGTCATATAGATTGAAAATCAACGTCAGACTATGGCAAGTAATGCCTGTTCAGTTATTTTGGCAGATAAATAAGACCACCGCATCAGAACCGTTAGTAGTTAACCGACACTGATTAAGAATAGAACAGACAAAACGACTGGATGAGCAGTTCAAAAGAAGACAAAACAACATTGCTGAAAAAACTTGTTGGAAAAGTAGAACACAATCTCGGGGGGAAAGTACAAACAGTCACGGTGACGCGACAGTTGAATGTATTCTTTGCGTCACTTCCGTTTATGCTTCTTCTGCTTTTTCGAAAGAAGCGTTTTCCAAACGGCATTCGTTCTGACTTCTTTGCATGCGCGTTTAGCAGCCACGCTCGCACGGGAGCGATCAGCGTGAGTCCGTTTACGGTTTTGAACACCCAATTCACGACGAAAGCACGCAACAAAGAACCCGTTGGCCAAATCCTTCTCCGGAACGGTTCGAAGACATGGTTCACAGTCGTACTCGGACAAACCTCGTGTCTTCCAATCAAACTGAGAGATTTGGGTTGTTAAACCTGGATTATTCATCCATATCGGTTCCAAAACGAAGCGGCCGCGAGAAGTGGCTAGTACCTCAGAGACTACTTGCTCATTTTCCTGAAAATCAACCAACAGTGGGAAACGCGATGGAATACGGAATGATAAGGAATAAGCAATATTGATAGAAATCCAACGTGACAACAGTTACGCCTAGTTGACAGTCGAACACCAATATTTGCGAACAAAATGAGTGAAGTTGATATAACCTGGAAAATAAAGCCTATTTCGGCAACAGCACGCTGAAGTGGCCACCTCACGAGCACCGATGGTATCACCTCAGCTGGTGATGAAACGTTTGCAAACAAATGGCCAAGCTCGGCGAACAGGCTAAATGGAATTCAGTTTACCAGAGCTATATATATATATATATGCATCGCAACTTCTAAAAAAAAATTTTATCAACTTCACTTTAGTTCTGAACCGGTTGCTTACACACCACCCATCAATTCCATCTACCCAAGCCGGTCCCCAAAATCGGAACAGACGAGACGACTAAACAATCGATCAGATAAGCGTAGATAAGGCCCCTAACGTTTCCTTCGAGCTCATACGTGATATATCTTGACACGACCCAACAGAGCATTCTAGAGAACCATGCGCATTCGAATTGTTAACAATTTTGTTGGACGCGAGAAAGCACGTACGTTAAAGAAATAAATACGATTTGTGGGGCTGATTTACTGTGTATGACATGGCATCTTTGTACTCCCTTTGATCTAGAGAACGGAATAACTCACGGTGGAGAAAAAATGGGAACGAATGAAAACAACTGATAGGTCGTTTAATTCGTCTGCGAAAGTTTTACCAGTAATTTCACCTTCGTTCGCGGCAAGAGCAGAGCTGTATTTTCTCGAGTGCAGGTCACGCATGGCCAACTCGCGGCTAACCGTGAATAAGGTGTGTTCAAGAACACTGAATAAGCGGTCGGGGATGATCAGTAAAAGTGTTCGAGAATGTGGTGAGTTCACAACTTGACAAAGGTTCTCCACACAACACATCACATGTATATTTCGACAGCATCTATTATCTATTTATCTATTATTATTAGAATTATTATCTATTATTATCTGTCCAGTCCCCAATAGCGTCCAATTTTTACCGAATCCTTCTAAACCAGTTAAAGTAATTCTTCGGCATCGATGTCTATCAGACCAGTCACATTTATCGTGCGTATTCTGACGCGCACAGGACAATATGTAGGTTTGGCTCGTACTCTGGAGACCCTAATCATTGATGTGATGATCCAACGTTCGGTTTTTCATATCGAGTGGAACAGTCCTGGAATACTCCCGGATATAGCAGCTAATTCCATTTGAATAACCCTTTTGATCCACCAGTTTTCACAGTTTTTCCAGGCCATTGCCCAGTTGAGATTGCAGACTATTTCTGCCCCTGTGTTGCTCCTGGCAGATTGAGATCGTTCGCTTTTGTTCCATCGGGACAACTAACTTCTAAAAGATTCAATATCCCCGACGAACTTCAGGCTCTGTCCAACAAGCAAATTTCGCTAGCTATTGCATTGTATATCTAAGCCGATCCGGTTGTTGATCCCCTTCTCCACGTGCTCTTAGCTGATGCTTAAGTCCTTCCTCATCACCAAAGCAAACAGTTGAACCAGGTACACGATGATGAGCAGATCGAGGTGGCTAATTATGCCGATAAAAAATGAGTTGAAGCGTGAAATGCATCAGAACCGATGCGTAATCAGACTTCATGCAGGTGGTCTAATAGGACCTTCGATTTTGTGCTGAGCCACGACGACGGCAGCTTCCAGCTTCGTGATCAAATTGCCCGTTGAACTAGAAAACCATATTGCCATCCGTAAATACCTGTGTAGAGAGATTTATATAAGGGAAACGATCTGAGCAGAACTGAAGTATTTCTTGGTCGTTCTGTTCCCTGGACGAGGAGTCCGAAACTTCCTCCTACACAGGTTTCGAATACGCTACTTTAACGCATATACTCCTATAAACAGATGAAAACTCTGAAATAATTACGCTCTTTGCTGGTTTTGATTTTGTCATTCTTTTGATTGTTTCGCTACCATATATCAAATAAGGAAGACATGTTTCATCCGCGAAAGAGCAGATTTATAGCAATTTTAAATTTTAAGCAATGCGAACAAGCAAAACTTGCAGTAATCTATGAAGTACATGGTTCAAAAACAGTGTGTCGATTCCATAAGTTGAACCATAAGGAACAGTGCACTCTGCATGCGGTCAGACCGGTGAAAGGATTTTGTTGGGAGCTGTAACAGGTATCTTAAATTCCAAACAAAAACACACGGTGGCGGCAGGGAGCGTCGCTGAGCCAGTACCGTTGAGAGTCAATTCGTACATATTCATGCATTCCGTGATAACCTGTTATGCATTAATAGAAGCGTTCCAGTTTGAATCCAATCAAACGAAAATTACCAAAATAACGGACAGCTGTCCAAAACATGTTTTGAAATAAATTACCTTGGGACAAAGTGAACATGTGGAATAGACAACTCGTTCTACATTGGGAAACTTCAGTGCATGATTTAACAACTGAGCTTGGAGATTGGCGAGGCGTTGCAACCGCTTCTCCGACTGTTCACTCCACAACAGGCCATCCTGGTAGCTGGCCGTATCTGAGTGTTCATCGCATTTCGCGATCTTTCCTGAAGTCAAAGGTGCACCCGTGGACCCATCCGGTTGTCGGGCTCGCAAACCAGAACCAGAACAGGAAGGATCAAGCAAGATCGACTTCACCCGAGAGAATTTCGGATCCAGAGGATCCAAGGACAGAAAATCTGAGCACAATGCCTCAACACGGGGTTGATTGGAAGTCTTGGTTGCGATCGGATTCAGCTCAACTGGCGTTGGGCCGTGCACAGACAGACGCTGAACACCACATTCAGTTAAGCGAGAACAGAGTCGACAAAAGCTGAGAATAGGAATGCACCAATATACTGGGTCAAGAAACAACACACTGCGATTGAATTTCAGTGAGTAAAACTTTTCTTCATAAATGGATAATGATAATCGTAACTGCACATCAAACGTAGGGAGGAGAGATATTCGGATTTGGAAGTAGAAATAGTAATCTGTAAAGTATTAGGGTACTAATCATCAGAATTTAAAAAAATCTTCCGCCTCTGAAGGCAAACTGAAGTCACTTCAGTGGGATTCCTGAAATTTATTATAAAGGTTTAATGTGAAGATGTTTGACCTCCTTACGTGAGCGAATGAAGGAACTTTTATGAATTAGGTAGCAGCAAATCAACCACAGAGAGATCGAGGTGGGAAGTAATATCACCAGCGAAGATCTCGAAGTTACCTGGAGCGTGCATGACATTAACCTGTTTGGGTTGTGCATAGGGAAGTTGTTTTTCGAACGCCAATGCGGTAAATTTTAATGAAAATTATTCGAATGTGAATACCGCGAGACGATGGATTCACTGTTTGGAGAGGGGAAACCTCAAATGAGCGTATGACAATGACCCTGAATGGAAGATGAGTGACAAGGCTTTGGAAGAGGAGGCAATTCGGATGCTAAGGTAACTGGACAACAACTGAACAACCATTTTCTCCCCCAGGTGTCCAGCATGAAGAGAGATGAATCTTTCAGATCACATCCCTGACACACTGTGCAGGAGTAAAAATTACATCGACGGAGTTTTTTTCACCTGGGTCAACCTGCCACCTAATCTTAATACTATGAAAAACATTCAAGGACCTCATGGGCAAAACGATAACGGAGGACATTAAATCTAAGCAGCCAAGCGGTGGCTTTGAAAAAAATCCCAACTGTAATTGGTGTAGATGGTAAACGCAGACGCAGGTTCCTAAGTGATACGTGGCTTGTTTACCATCAACGGATAGCTCGAGCTTTCGGGGGTCGCACTTCTGTATACCTCCGATGAGTATGAAGTTGATTTTATATCTCAAAATTGGGGGAATTTTGAT